GAGTTGCTACGCTTCTCCATTTGAGCCCTTTGCTTCCTTTCTCTCTTGGAAATTATTTATATGGACTTACATCAGTGAAGTTTGTTCCGTATGTGTTAGGAAGGTTTGCTTCTTGTATATATTTATGGGAAAGAGCAAAAAAAAATTTGTTCAGATCAAATCTTCAAATTTGTATGGAGGCAACCATGATGATCTTCAAATTTGTTGATGTTTTAAAATTTCTTGATCATTTCTTAATACCTCAAGAAATATGTTTGTCCTTGAGTCGTTAGTTTTTGTACTTATGTGAAGTTTCCTTTGTCATGCAGACAAGAAATGCAACAGGGTTAGTTGCTCCAGCTATTGCCACGAGTTTAGGTGCCTTAACATATACATTGGGCACCCTCGTCCCTATGATAGGAGCAAGTGGATTTGCTACAGATGCACCTGTGACTGCTATAGAAACTGTTGCCGGTAGTTTTAGATAATCTCTCAATAGTTATCGATATGTTTAGAAAGTTAGATATGCATAGTTTTGGGTGGTTTAAACTTTTTGTACAGTTTAGAACTTAAAGATATAGTTTTCGAATCTTTAGAATATATAGACAATTGTTGAATGTTTATAATTTATGGATATAGTTTCTTTTTGATGTTTCAAACAATATTTTGGTGGTTGATTGATATTTTGTGATGCTTGTTTGTAATATTTGTTAGATTGTACAAAATTGGTCAAATAGAACCTGTTGAATTTAAAAATAAAAAAACTGCATATTCTACGGCAGGTATAATAAATAGTTGTATTACATATTTTACGGCGCGCAATCAGCGTCGTTATTTGTCTTACCAATTAACAACGTACAACATCTGCTATTAAATAGTTTTTAACGACATACTATAGTATATCGTAGAAAAAGTAACAACGACGCACAAAATCTACCGTTAAATAGTTTTTAACGGCGTACGAAGCATGTCGTTGAAAGTGAATGACTTTCCATGACTAATCATAATATGACGCGCGCTGCACGTCGTAGAAGAGTTTTTACGGCATGCATTGTGCACCATTTTCCTTTTTTTACTCCATCTATTTCTACCTCTACACATAACTCTACCCCTACTTTTCCTCAACTACACTCCTTTTTCTAGTCCTCTTTTCAGTCTGCTCCTACTTCTGTTTAGCCATCTGCGATATCAATTCGGCTTATGTTCTTTCCTTTCAGCCTTCTATAACTACTGTTTCTGCTTTGCCTGCTGCAGTTTAGTTTGCTTTTGGCCAACCTGCTGCTGCCACTGTCTTCCCTGGTCTGTCTGTTACTGCCTTGTCTCCATCTTCTGCTGTCTCTCCCTCTATTCCTATTTCCTCTCTAACTATTGACCTCCCTTTTGTGCATCATATTCCTGTTTTCCTTGCTCCTTCTTACTCTTCTCTAAATATTCATCCCATGACTACCAAGTCCAAGTCTTTTTCTTCTTCTGCTCTTCTCTCTACTCTTTTCCCTCTTGTTGAACCCACTTGTTTCTCTGGGTTTAAATGCTATGCTTTGTTCATTGATGAATTTAGCAAATTTATTTGGGTTTATCCTCTTTGCTATAAAAGTGAAGTGTTTACCAAATTTATGGAATTTAAGGTGTTTGTTGAAAATCAATTTGAGACTACTCTTAAAAATTTTCACACTGATGGTGGTGGCAAGTACACTAGTTCTCTATTTGAGATTTTTCTTAGAACACATGGCATCATTCATCAAATGTGTTGTCCACACACTCTTCTCCAAAATGGAGTTGCCGAGAGAAAACATAGGCACGTTGTCACTACTACCATTGCTTTGCTACAGCAATCAGGTCTTCCCCTTGCTTATTGGTTTGATGTTCTTGCTACTTCTATCTTTCTCATTAATAGGTTGCCCAGTTCTAAAGTTCAAAATCAAACTCCTTATGAGGTCATATTTCATCATTTCCCTAATTTTGCTTTTCTTAAAAGCTTTGGCTATAGCGATCCCGGGTTTACCCTTGTTGTACAGTGATCCAGACATGTGTCCGTGGATGTTGGTTATTGTTTATCATCGTGTTTGCATCCTTTGTACTTTGTATATTGAGTTATGGGATGTGTTGGTTAGGTTTGTTACAGGTTGGTTGTGTTTGGAAGCCTAGTGTTGCTGCCCAGATTTTTGGTCCTTCGCTCGAGCGAGGAGTTGTCGCTCGAGCGAGAGTTTTGTTGCGTCTGGTTCTGGACCTGAGAGCTGTCTTTCTTGGCTCGAGCGAGCTTCCTTCGCTCGACCGGTCTGGATTTTTCTTCGCTCGATCGAGAACTTCTTGGCTCGAGCGAGAGTTTTTTGTGTCTGGTCGCTCGAGCGACCAAGTCTTCGCTCGAGCGAGCGTGTTTTATATCAGCGGACAGCAGCGTCATAAACATCACTTTTTCACTTTCTTTTTGATCCAAAACCCTTAATCCGACACTCTCTCTCCCTAAACTTGCACTCTCTCTATGATTTGATCTCCCTAGGGTGTGAATCTAGCCTAGGGCCTTTGTTAAAAAGATAGAGGGTGTTGAGAGCTTCGATTTAATCTGAAAAAGTTTGGATTTGGAGCAAGTTGATCTTCGAGTCTTCATCTCCTTTGTGGCTTAAACTTCGAGGTAGGGATATCCTACTCCTCTCTATGGGTTTTGTCTTTAAATTTTGGTATTTTGAGATGTTGGGCTTGGTTTGGTAATTTTGTGAAAGTTTGGGGCTTTTGTGTAATTTTACAAAAGTTGGGGTTTTATTCATAATAAACCTAGATGCATGTCTGGCATGAAAAAAAATGGAATGATTGTTGAATCATTGATGAAAATGGAACCTAAGGGTTGAAATAGTAATTATGGAAAATGGCCTAATTACATTGTTTAATTAATTGGGATAATTAATTGGTGAGAAATGAGGAAAAGAAATGTTGATTGAATATCCATTTGTGCATTTCGCTGTAAATTATAAACCCTTCTGCTTCCGCGGGGAGTGCTAGTATTGGAGCCGTCATGAGTCTGTCCTTCAATTCTTGGAAGCAACGTTCCTGCTTGTCCGTCCATTCAAAGGGTGTGTTCTTTTGAGTTACCTGGGTCAATGGTGAAGCTATCTTCGAGAAATCTTGCACAAAGCGCCAGTAAGAGCCTGCTAGGCCCAAGAAGCTTCGAATCTCTGATACGTTAGTAGGTCGTGGCCAATCCACAATTGCTGCAACCTTTTGGGGATCAACTGAAATGCCATCTTTGTTAATGACGTGACCGAGGAAGTGTACACTAGTGATCCAAAATTCGCATTTCTTCAACTTGGCATAAAGTTTATGATCACGTAATGTCTGTAGAACTTTTTGCAAGTGGTGTTCATGATCTTCTGGCGATTTAGAGTATATGAGAATGTCGTCAATGAAAACAATGACGAACTCGTCAAGATAGGGTTTGAACACTCGATTCATGAGGTCCATAAAGGCCGCTGGAGCATTGGTGATGCCAAATGGCATGACGAGGAACTCGTAGTGCCCATAACGGGTTCTGAAGGCAGTCTTTTCGATGCTTTTCGTTTTGACTTTTAGTTGATGGTAACCAGAACCCAAGTCAATTTTTGAGAACACTTGGGTGCCTTGCAGTTGATCAAACAAGTCGTCAATTCATGGCAGGGGGTACCGATTTTTTATGGTGACTTTATTTAGCTCTCGATAGTCGATACATAATCTCATTGTACCATCCTTTTTCTTTACGAACAGTACCGGAGCTCCCCATGGTGAGGTACTTGGTCGGATGAAGCCTTTATTCAGTAGTTCTTGGAGAGTTGAGTTTTTAGTTCTTTCAATTCTGCCATGGACATGCGGTAAGGGGTCTTTGAGATTGGTTGTGTACCAAGTTGGGTTTCAATGGTGAACTCGATTTCCCGGTCAACTAGGGTGCCAGGCAGGTCTTCAGGAAATACATCCGGAAATTCTCGAACTACGGGGATCACATCAAGTGTGGAGGTCTCTTGTTGAGTATTAATCACATAGCAGATACAACCACAACAACCCTTTCTTAGCAGTCGTTGGGCTGTTATGAAGGATATAATACAGGGAGGGGAAGAGGCTCCAGTTCCTTCGAAGACAAGCTCGAGTTGGTTTGGTGACCTGAGGAATACCTTTTTGGCTTTACAATCAATAAAGGCACGATTAGCAGCTAACCAATCCATTCCTAAAATTACATCAAAGGTACTAATGCCAAGGGGTATCAAGTCTACGTGTAAGGTTTCACCTTTTAATGTTACAGTGCAAGATTTGTATACATTAGTACTAAGGGCGAAATTTCCAGAGGGAAAAGACACAGATAGTATGTATCCTAAGGGTTCAGGTGTTGATGTCAACTTGGTAGCAAAGTGTGGTGTAACAAAAGAATGAGTTGAACCAGAGTCAAAGAGAACATGGGCTAAGTGACCACAAACAGAGAGTGTACCTGACACAACATTTTCAATAACTTCTGGGTTTCCAGGCACCAGGGCAAAAGCTCTTCCTTGGCGTTTTTGATCATTTCTCGCTCCTTCAGGTACTACGGGTCTTCGGACTGGTTCAAAGGGGCGGACGAGCTTTGGACAATTTCTTAGTAAATGACCAACTTGGCCACATCTAAAGCATACTCTCGTATCTTGACGGCATGGTCCCCAATGAATCCGTCCACAGGTAGAGCAAGCTGGAGTGGTGCCTTCTTTAGGGTTTGCAGGGCTTTAATTGCTTAGACCGGTTGAACTGGTTGTACTTGCATTTATTCTTTTGGGAGGTGCGACACCGGGCCTTCTGTTATCTCTTTCCTAAAATCGCTTCCTCTAACTTGGCTCCCCAGATCGTAAGGCTTTAATTCCTTTTTCCGCAATGTATGCTCGATCTACCACTGTCGCATAGGTTGGTAGTTTCAGAACCTCCAGCCTATCCTTAATTTCAGGATCCAACCCTGCTTCAAATTTCCTGGCTTTTCGAGCTTCGGTAGGAATGACATATGTCGCGAACCGGGCCAACTGTGTGAACTTACTTTCATATTAGGCCACTGTCATGGTTCCTTGCCTTAGATGTATGAATTCTGACGCCTTTTGTTCCCGTAGTGAATCTGGAAAGTACTTTTCATAGAATACTTCTAAAAATCTCACCCAAGTCACAATATCTTCCTTTTCCAGGGTAAGGAGCCACCATTCTTGTGCATCGTCCTTGAAGGTGAAGGTGGCAAAAGTCACCTTCTGTCTTTCTGTGCAAGGTAGTGCGCGGAAGATTTTCTCCATGTCCCTGACCCAAGCCTCTGCTACTAGTGGGTTTGGACTGCCGATAAACGTAGTGGGTTTCAGATCTTGAAATTGTTTAATCGTAGTCGATTCTTCTCGTCTTTCTAATGTCCCATTGGTTATGCTGCTTTGCAAGGCCTGTAAAAAGTTGGTGACTGCCGTTTCCATGATCTGTTCCATCGGGTTGGTACCGCTGACTAATGATCCGTTTTCATTTCCTTCGTTGGCCATTACTACAAGGCAAAATGATATAAGCGTGACATCATATTAAAACAATTTTGATACAACGTCATGTATAACATATTCGTTCTATTATTACCACATTCGCATATACTGTGCTAGTTTTGCTATAAATATCACCACTTTCATATTAGTGTTACCACCATGTTAATATTACCACATATACATCATTGTTACCATACATAGAGTGTTAGTCTGGTAGTCACAGATTAATGTCTAATCCTACTAATACAAAAACATTAGACTACTCATGGTCAGCTTACAAAAAGGGTCTTCTAGTCAGACATCTAGACTGGTCCATTAGGCCACCAGGAGAACTGGCTTTGGAAAACTGGTCCATGAAACAACCCTGGAAACTCACTTTGCATGATGGACTCAAACTCCCACCCACTAAGCTCAACTCCGAAGCAGCTCCATACTACCTGAACCATTTAAACAGGAGTACCGTGATTATAACCCCAGAATTCCCGTCCAGTAATCCGTATCGGTGTCTCCAGGTATGATGCACCGTCAGTAAAGTCCACAGCTGTGATATAAACAATGTGTTGGGGAGGTGGTGTCGTGGTACGGAGGTGGCTACTAGGATATGCAGGTCCCCTCCTCTCTGCAAAGCCTATTGGTAGAGGTGCGACCAGAAAATGTGGTGGTTCTATGTCCGGAGCAAGACCAACAACGTGGGTTGGTCCTATGTACCTTTCACGAGTGCTACCTCGGCTAAGTCTCCAGAATAATAAGTCCTCATCGGGGTCAGCCTGTAAGTAAACGGATCTTTCCATGAGATGGTCAAGTGTTGGATGGGCTTGCCTGACAAGACTCTCTGAGTCACCCCAGCCCTCTAATTGGTTCGGGAGGATATGAGCTTCTGGGGGCTCGTACCAGAATAGCTCCATTAGGTTCGCCATGTCCTACAACACGAGAAGGCTTAGCCTAGACATATATATAACATGACTTATATGCGTTAGACATATAACATAATAATGTAAGTTTAAAAAATTTTAAAAACTTGTACCATATATATATATATATATATATTGTGCGGGGAGCAAATATTCCGGTAAGCCCGTACTCCTTTCCTCCATGCTCCGTTTATGTCCGATCACCTGCGCGCAAAACAATGGTGAGCTACCCGGCGGTGTGTGGCCGGAAAAACCCTCTGACGATCAAGTTAGCACACACCTTAGGATAGAGAGAGAGAGAGAGAGAGAGAGAGAGAGAGGTGTTTGAATGCAAGAAATTCCTTACAAAGTGTTCATCTGTCGCGTATGGGGGGCGCAGACATGCTTATATACCCTCTGCGCCCCATATCCACTCCCAGTCATCTCCTGACACGTGGCTCCGTTATCCCATCTGTCAGCATAAACTTTGCCGATCATCACCTAATCTCAACTGCCTACCTACTCAGCAGGAGCTCGGCAGCCGGGCTGCTCTATCCACGGCCGTGCTATGCTTCATACCCAAGCACCTCACTGGATAAACCCAAGGAGGACCGGGCTAGGCGGCATCTCGGCAGAGCCTAGCCCGGGCACCTCCTGTGGTCAGCCTTCCTGCCGATCAAACAGTTTCCTCGGTTGACCACGCCTTTCTGGGCGCTGGTCACTCAACTTGTCTGGCTTCAGCCATCCCCTGATCAAACAGCTCGGTCCAACCGAGCACTACCTTGCCGAGCTTCTTTTCGGTCCGGGGCGGCTCACACTTGGCTCAATTCCTACCTAGGCCAAGTTCTGGCAGCCCATCTCCGGGCGGATAGTCGATCATCTCGGCCCCATGCACGGTTGGGCTCTCTTCCTGCTCGGCCGTTGCCTCGACCCAATTCCAGATCATAAATCACCCTCTCAATTGCCCCTTAATTCCGTCCGCGAAAGCGTGACTGGGATTACTCACTTCGACCGAGATAACATTTCTCCGGTCTTCAAGATGCCAAAGGGCGACCGGGCTAGTTAACATAACTGTCTGCAGACTTGCCCGACTATACTCCTCGGCTGACATCCTTTTCTTCGAAAGTAGCTCAGTTGGCTCTTCGACTCTTCAACCCATCGCTTCAGTCCTGACGTCGCCATAAATGGGGACACGTGGCGGGCTGCCATTGGTCATCGAGCAGCGAACCCGCCGTTTTTGCCAGAATTTTGAATTTGGGCGGTCTCTCCCTTGTCTATACGTACAGGGCCTCCCAAACTCCATCTCCTCCTACTGCCATTCTGTTATACGACTCCAGTGCTCTAACATCCTTGCCTTGGCCTCGTCTGCCATTCTTCGTGTTCGAGGGAATAGATCTTGCCCTTCACTGGTGAGTCCTTCTAGCCCTATTTTGTTGCTATTTTCTTTCATATTACACACATTAGGGCACAAAAACGTAGCTCTTAGGGCATAGGCCATAGAAACCGTCCCAAACCTCCCACTGTTCTTAGTGTTCTTCATCTTCCTGAAGAACAATGAAGAACTGGGGCGGACCAGGCTCCTGGTCTTCTTTTGATCCAAAAAACCAATCTAACCGAGCAAATAACATGTTTGTCTCAACCCCAGCAAAAACCGGGATAACAAAATCTTCGTTTGATCCAAAAAACCATCTCGACTGAGCAAATAACCTGTTAGATATAACCATAGGAAGAACCAGGATAACAAAGGTCTTGGCCGCTCAACCGGGCTAAATCTGGTCTGCTTGGGCGGCCGAGCTCCTTGTCAGCCTCTACGACCGATGTGGTTTGGCACTCTAGACGACCGAGCTAAAGTCAAGCTTGCTTTGAGCGACCGCGCTCCCTCTTACACTTGCCCTCCTTTTCCTGCAGAGTCCAAGGGGACCACTGTCCAATCCTGAGGCTCCCAAAGACCAAGCAGCCACAAATCACCTGACAGTGCCAAACCAAAGCCGAGCTAATTTAGCCGGTCGTAAATGGAGAAATTCCGCTTCCTCGTAGATACTCCGGCTGCACTAGCTGCATTCAGGGAGGAGTGCGGCATCCCGGCCGATGTCCACCTAGAGCTCGTAGAAGAAGAGACCACGCCTTGGGGCAGAACAGAACAATGCCCCTTCACCGTGCTGTCGATCGTCGAAGGAGGCCTCCGCTTCCCACTCAACCCACTTATCACCGAGTTCCTCCGCCGCACCGGGCTAGCACCCACACAAGTGTCCACCAATACTTATAGAATAATCAACGGCGTTCATGAATTGAACAATCGGCTAGGCACCAACTTAGGCCTAGTCGAGATATTGAGGCAATACACAATGGGCCACACCGAGGACGGCCTAGCTTATTACTTGAAGATAAGACCGGGCAAGGAAAAAATTGTAATCGGCACCCCAGATAAAGATCTGCACGACGACGATTTTTTCTGGGTGTTGGGCAATTACGAAACAGCCGAGGTGCCGGGCTAGTTCATAAACAAGGACTTCGGTTCTTCATGTAAGCCGTTCAAACTTGCTCGGTTAGCCTAACTCTTTACTCTGTAACTAACCGGTTTTCCTGTTTCTTTTGCAGCAATCCAAGCCTTGCAAGCCAACTATCAATTTCCCAACGTTGAAGCAATTCGGACCGTGCTTCGGTATTCCCACCAAGATTGCAACGATTTACTCGGCTACACCCCGACCTACAGGTATTCTGCTCCGCGCCGGAGTAGAGTAACTGACTTCCTCCGCGCTCCTTCGCCACCTCCAGACCCTACCCTTCCTGACGTCCCCTTAATCCGGTTAACAGACGAGCAAGAAATGGCCAAAAGAAGTCGAATCAAAAACCTTCTAACCGCAACCTCGGCCGAGATACCGAGTGTCGTCGCCCGCTCCCCGGCTGCCGGTCAATCGACTGCAACCTCGGCCGAGATACCGAGCGTTGTCGCCCGCTCCCCGGCTGGTGGTCAATCAAGTGCCGCCGTGGTCGCCCTAGCTTCTCCAGCCGCCGGGCAGTCTAGCAAAGAAACACGCCGGGCTGGAAAAACACCACGGGCAGATCCCTCTGCCGAGCTCGTCGCCGAGCTGACAACCGAACATCCATCTAAAACTCCTGTCCCAGTGCCAGCCTGGCGTCCACAGCTGAAGCACCAGGGACAAGATATCCCGGCCACTACGTCGATCAAGGGTGACAAAGAGCATTTGCTCGCCTTTGATCTCTCCAAAGCTCTTCTACTACCCAGCGACGTGGTCGGCAGCGACCACGTCCCTGACACTCGGTTGGTCAAATCATTAGTGAAGTCTATGGCTAGGGTAAGTTAATGTTCCTCTGAAAATTTCACAAGTGTTTGCCCGGTTCCTCTTCTAATCAACTTTGCTTTTTGCAGGCCATTCAAAAACAACACCTGGTTTTGGAGCGCATCCATAAACTTCGGCAAAAGGCCAATGACACAGCCAGCCAGGTCGAGAGCCTTCAAGCCGAGCTCGGCCGGGCTAAGTCTTCCCTTGAGATGGCCAACGCCGATAATAACAGACTGCTCGGTCAGCTGGATGCGGCCGAGAAGAAACGGGATGAGCTCCAGACCGAGGTAGACACGCTCAAAAAGTCGAAGAAGAAAGCATGCTGGGCTGCCAACAATGCCGGTTTTAACGAAGCCGAGCAGAGCTACAAGAAGCAAGTCTTTGCAACACAAGACATCTACTTCAAGGCTGGTTGGAAGTCCGCCTGCGAACACCTCGGCCAGGGCTCTGGCACCGACGTATTTGCCAACCCTTCACCAGCTTCGCTACCGGTCTACCTCGTGCCTTATGCAAACGACGTCTTCAGCGCTTTGCAAGCGGAGGCCGAGGAAGGGCTTGAAGAGGAAGACGGTGAGACAGAATCTGAGGCAGAAGAGGTCGAGGTGCAAGAGCAGCCCGACAATGACGAGCCTGGTGCCCAAGACATAAGTCCAACCATCAACCTTGATGCCGGTGAGGACGAGTTTACCAATCTCTCCCCCTTAGTTTAGTTTTCTTTTCTTTTTTGTATTTTTGCTTTCAACGCTTCTGATGTAACCGGGCTCTGTCCCCACCTTTTGTATGGATTTTCTTATCAATGAAAAAGTCAAAT